GCGAAAGGGAGATGGAACGATCACTGATGACAACAAAGATCTGAGCGAAATACTGAGGATTCAATATGACTGTTTTCAGCGAGTCACTAAGCACACTGAAGATTGATAATCCAATTGAATTTTAAATTGGATGTGATACCAACATCAAATCATATATCAGATGTCACCCTATCCCCACTGGATCACTGGATTTTGTTGAAGCCATAGTGTGACGGACCTCGGCGCCATCTACGATCCAGGTGCCGAACTAAAACAGTTGACTCTCTCATTAAGTGTAGTTTCCCATCTTCTAGTCGGTTGTGCTGGAAAATGACGAGCTACCAGGGACTCCTGGTTCAACCTTGACGACGAGCGGACGTCTGGACACCTCCTCCGCCTGGGAGCCGACTGATCACGTTCTGTTTTCGCGTTTTGGCTTTGCCACTGCCGTTTAGCATCCCTGTTCAACGTTCCGGTTGTAGGATGCCTGGCGCACATATCACCTTGGGACACGGGATTGTTAATAGATTTTTTTTTTTTTACGTGTTCTGGCTGGTCCTTCCAGCGGGGTGAAGGTGTCCGGCGCCGGCTTGGCCGAGAGGTGCCGGGGGTTGGTGGGTCTTGGTGGGCTCCCGGTGTGCCCTCAGTCGTGGTGGGCGGCTGGCTTCTTCTCTGCCGGGGGGCACTGGATGACTTGCGTTTTAGTTGGGGGCCAAGTTTTTGGCTACCCAGTGTTCTCTGTGTGGGGCGAGGCTGGTGCTTGTCACCCTGAGGGACTCCCGGGGCTCCCCAATCATCTGCATGTCTGCGTTTCTTTGCCGCGAGGCATATTAGTTTCCTGGGATTGGCGTCATTCGTTTTGCGATTGGGCTTGGCGTTTCACCTTTCCGGGCTTCGCGATTAACTCTTAACGGGTACGCCGGGGCGCAACCTATCCCACGATCGTCGTCGCCCCATAAATCAACAACAAAAACATACCAGGGACAGACGATGGAAGGCAGTGAAGCAGGGAAAGTGAAATAGTACTTTGGTCGACATTGTGCTAGCCAGTGGGGCTAGTTGAGCGCTGTAGACTTCACTATTGGAAGGTGCTAGCCAGTGGGGCTAGTTGAGCGCTGTAGACTCCACTATTGGAAGGTGTTAGACAGTGGGGCTAGGTGAACGCTGTGAACTTCACTGGTTGAGCATACTAGAGAGTGCGCTAAGGAAGGGGGAAGCGTTTGAAGACGTCTCCATAACTGCAGCTAGCGTAAGGGCTAATGTGTTGAAGACCTAGTCAGAGGAATATCAATAGTGTCAGTCATCTTTGAATCTAGCTAGCGTGAGGGCTAGTGACGCCGCTCTGGATAAACCTCTCATGGAAAATTACATATATTAATGGTGATGGGTAATAAGAACGGGTAACTTTTAATTTATTTTTTATTACTTACCTTAAACATTACACTATATTTACACCAAGGTTAATGTCCTCTGAACTTGAGTAGGATGACAGTTTAAAAAGAACCCGGTTACGAATGGTTCGTAACACATAGTATGCCTATTCACTCTGCACCAGACCCTGATTCTTGGAACTATATTCACCAAGAACTTTTTTTTTTTTTTTAGATATATACAAGAGTTGTTACATTCTTGTACAGCCACTAGTACGTGTAGCGTTTCGGGCAGGTCCCTGGAATACGATCCCCGCCGCGAAGAATCGTTGTTACAACCAAGTACTCATTTTACTGTTGAGTTAAATAGAGGCTACAGTTAAGGATTTGCGCCCAGTAAATTCTCCCCGGCCAGGATACGAACCCATGGCAAAGCGCTCGCGGAACGCCAGGCGAGTGTCTTACCACTACACCACGGAGACTGTAAAAAAAATACTATCGAAGGGCCTTTAAATTCTTTGGAGACAGAGCCTAGATACTGGCGTTATTCCTGACATACTAAAAACAACAGAGATAACACCACTCCAAGCATTCTTCCAAACACCAATGCAAGCAAAGGTGCATAATTATCAATTCAAAATATAATGAGAACGTTCATAATTTTTGTGATTGTGACATTTCAGTCATAGTTGGTGTGATATCTGCCACAACGTCCAGGACCCTGAGCCCCAACACAGACGGCCCCGTCCGGCTGCAACATGGGCATACGCAGGGACCTCACGACGAAGGTATATGCATCTGGTTACGTAGTCAAGCAGAGAATCATCACACAGCTGCATCTTGTGAGCAGCTCCACCACGTCTGACTAGACACCAGTTCAGGATCGAATTCCTCAGCCGAGATGACTAGGCTTAGCCTCTGGTCTGTGTCTAAAACAGATGACATGTGTCTAATAGAGAGTTGAGAATATTCTGGGTGCTGGCACACAGTGTTACGGATCACTGTATCGTTATATGTTCGTTGGGTTTCCTAAGCACAGTTTAAAAGCGCATGGATTAATACATTAAACAGGGCTTAAGAGGCCTTCCTGTCGAGTGCCTTCTTCAAAGTGTCTAGTTACATTCTTATGACCTTTGAACAGAATGGATGATTTCCTGTTGGATAAGTGAACCAAACCAACGGGGCAGCCACTCTCTAGCATACTTGCTGGCGAGTTCACTAACAAGCCGCATAACAGTCTCAATGACTGACAAGTTGTATACGTCAACATTCAGGGTGATGTGCACTCCTTCCTCACTTCAAGAGTTATATCTGGGGAGAAAAGTGCTTCTGTGAAGGAGACGGACTAGAACCATCCTCCCAAGAGGTTTGCCAAGACTAGTAAGGGAGATTGGGTGAGATGGACTTCTGCTGTTTAGGGTTGAGAATGTTAATAATATGAATTGGTCCATGAAATAGGAAGTTTTCCAGTTACATAACTTATGTTAAACAGTTCAATCAAGCACCTCCAGCTAATTTGGCAAATAAATAAATAAACAAATAAATGTTTTTATCTAAATATAGCACAAAAACACAACCTCCACATCACTTGGCACATACAAACAAACCCTCCAGCTAAATTCGGCAAAATAACCCCCTCTCAAGCTAAGTTAAAATGAAAATAAAACGTCCACATCAGGAGGTGTTTTTTTTTGTCTAATTTGCCGCCAAAACACACCTCCAGCTAACCGAAAAAAATGAAAGCTATATTCGGACACACATTCAGCTGAATTCGACACAAATAAGATTTGTGTATATAACTTCTTTCCTTAAGTAGCCATTGGTCGCCAGTCCTCAAGGCTCTCCATCATGTATCATTCCAGTCCAGCCTCCTGTTTTGGTAGTACTTATAGTCGCGACGAGGACTATAGTACATATACCGACTTACGAGGACCATAGTACATATACCGACTTACATGGAAATTAGAAAGTAGAAATCTGAACTATTGAGATGGACAAACCGGAAAACTATGTTTTACTTGTGTTGCTTTGACAAACTAACCTAACCTAAACTTCTTAGGCCTAATACACGATCTCTGAGGTACACGTGTGTGCTATACTAGGCCTAGGGATATTTTTTTTTTTTTTAGCTTCATTTATTTTAAAAGAATTCATTACTAGTCAGTATGCTACTAGCTAAAAATTAAGTACGTGCGAATTCGTGACTATTGACGACATTGGTTACTATCTAAACAGAAGAATTAGTTATCTTGATTATCTTGAGATGATTTCGGGGGTTAGCGTTCCCGCGGCCCGGTTCTCGACTAGGCCTCCTTTTTGTTACACATCCTTAGGAAGCAGACCGTAGCCGCTGTCTAACTCCCAGGTACCTATTTACTGCTAGGTAACAGGGGCATCAGGGTAAAAAAAACCCTGCCCATTTGTTTCCGCCTCCACCGGGGATCGAATCCTGAACCTCAGGTCTACGAATCCCGAGCGCTGTCCACTCAGCTTCCAGGATGGGTTGTACTTGCCCTCTGACAGCAAGATTCCTACCACAGTGGCTTCACGTATTTTGTTATATAAGTCAAAAGTTTATTCGTGTGAGAATAATTACAACTTTTGTGATTCATTATTTCTATTTAAACCAGTTATTCCCCACAAGTCTCTATGAAGCTCCCGACGGTGAAATTGAAATTGAAATAAGTTTATTGAGATAAAATACACACAAAGGGATGAGGTAGCTCAAGCTATTCTCACCCCGCTCAGTACAACGTGTTAATACATACATATATACACATCACACACAATACACATATTTCCGAACATTCTGAGAGATAAACATATACATTTCCTCCTTTACACAAGTAGTATGGTATCAGACGTACACAAATACTTTTATGACCGAGGTATACTGTATACACAATTTGCAAGAGACATGCAGATAATTCAACAAAAAATTACAGTCTTGGTGCAAAATTCTTATATCTCTCAAGAATATCATCAACCTTTCCGTACCCCGACGGTGAGTGGCGGTGGATGAGTCTGCGGACCCATCATTACTCATGAACATTCCCGCAGACCCATCGACAGTGTCGATCGCGAACCTTATATATTTGTATATATTTATTTACATATACAAGAGTTCTTACATACATGTTAGTTCATATATTCTTAGGTTTCTCACCTTCACTGTGATGTTCAAAACACACTGAGGATTTGTTGTTTATTAAAACAAAGTGAAAAAAAAATTGTTTGACTTCAGTGAAGGTACTGTAATGATTTACTGGGTACCGGGTCATGTTACACTTGAGCTGTTCTTAAGACTTGCTTGATATTGTAAATAAAGACTTCAATACGCTCTGGGGATAGCCAGAGGAGACTTAATGTTCGATTATGATGGTAAAGTCTAGCAAGCAACGTCTGGGTATTTTACTGGAAGAGATTAGCGGGCCAGTTGAGGGTGTCGTAGAGCAGAGCGGGCATTTTGGGCGCCCCGCCTGGCCTCTCCTCGCCCTGTCACCTCCCAGTGATCATCTGCTCCAGGTTGTGATTGGGTGGCTCTGGCCGTGGCTGGGCGAGCAGCGATCGCCCGGGCACTGGCAAGGGCTATTTCAGGTGGTAGAGGAAGTGACGTGGTGCGGGCAGCGGTCCCAAAATAGGTGTTGTGGTGTGCTGGTGCCGAGAAAGAAGGGTGATCAGTGGGCGCTAGGAGCGGGGCCGTGAGGTGTGTTGTCAGTCCAGTGTCTCCAGCACCATGATGCGAGGACCAAGTTACGACGATGCCTACATCTCTCGCAAGATGTCGCACCTGCATGGACCCACCTTCAGCGCACCTGGACCCGTTTCCTACGGACGCCCACCCATAGGCGGCTACTTGCAGGTACGTTCGCCGGCCTCCTCCACACTGGTACACGATGAGCTGTAGTGGAGAGTAAACAGTGCTCATCACTCAGTGTGTGTGTTGCTTATTTCCGCTTGGTGACAGTTTATATGGTGATATGTGGCAGACACTGTAGTGAACGCCGGCTTTATGACATTGACTAATATGTTCTATTTATGAAGCCATGCTGTGAAGCCACTATAAATTGATGGGAATTGATCTGGTTAAGACCTGTAGTCCCTGCATATTAACTTTGCTTACACAAAGGGATCAAAGTGTCGCAAAAAATAAATATAAGATTTTGTCAATCTCCTGGAGCAGTAACATCCACATCTCCTTACTGAGCCCCGCTTAAACCTGCGCCCTGTACATCTTGGCTTCCACTCTCCACCACCACCACCCACCCACTCCCTACTTTGGCGGGCTGAAGCTCGACCCAACCCCCAACATCAACACCAAATATGGCAGTACCACTATAATTGCTGCTTCAGTAACATCGCCACATTGTCTGCCACCAACAAGTGTTTTCAGCTATTGTTTAGCTTCAGTTGTCATCCCCTATTAGGGAGGAGTTGAGAGGTATAAGAAAACAATAACAGATGTGAAACAACAGGTAGTATGGTATTTAGACCTGCTCGCTATTCTTAAAGATAAACAATGCAATGCATTATCACTGAAAGTTTGACAGAAAACAACAGGGCTGAACAATTGTCATAGTCACCCCTGGACTCTCGCAGAAGCTGTAGATTCATAGAAGACGGACATTAGGTTCTGTATATTTATTCGATACGGTAATGGCTCGTTTGTTCCGACATAATGATCGTATGTGATCGTATGTAACTACTCGCACTCTGCCAGGATGGACATGTTGGTTCTTCATTACGATTCGTGAATGTAAACTGAACAAGAACGAAGTTATCGTTATACACTTTTCAACTGTGTATAAAGCACTCGTTGTGTACATTTGTAAACGTCTGCATAAACTGTGTCTTGTAGCGGAGTTATCTCGCAACCATATGGACCAGAGTTCGGTTCCTGGGCAGGGTGACACTTTTCGAAACCGTTCCATACACCTGATGCCACTGATCACCTAACAGTAGAGAGGTACATGTGACTTACGCAACTGTTGTGGGTTGCATCCTTAGGGTTAAGGACAGACGATAAACACAGCTGGCTTCCTGTCCCAGGCAATCGGAAACGATTACACAAACATTCATATTACATCAATTAATTGTGTGCAATCCATATGCAGGCGATGAGTCACACTAACGTGGCTAAAGTATGTTGACCAGACCTCACACTAGAAGGTGAAGGGACGACGACGTTTCGGTCCGTCCCTTCACCTTCTAGTGTGTGGTCTGGTCATCAATTGTGTGCAACTATGTGAATATATATATATATATATATATATATATATATATATATATATATATATATATATATATATATATATATATATATATATATACTAGGTAAAATATCACATTCTGGTGATGCTAACCTTGCAAAATTACTTCACGTTGATCGCCATGTTGATGTTTGTTAATACTTTACTACCGGGTGTTACATTAAAAGCAGTTTGAATTGGACGTGTAAATCGTTTGAAAAAATATAATTTTTTATAGGGAACACTGTGTATGTACACCTTCCCCCCCCCCAACAGCTGGATGTCATTGAGTAAGGATATATTTATGTTCCACCTTCAACATATACCGTTTTCTTTGTTTGAACTGCAAGATGAATTATGCAATTTAACCTTTTCATAAACAACAAAGATGGTTAAGCAAAAGACGAGACAAAAGTAATGCAGTAGAATGCTGCGGCTCACTATACAAATATACCATAATGTGAAGGCATTAAAGTCATGAACGCAGACTTCTTTTTTTTTTTTTTTTTTTTTTGAGATATATACAAGAGTTGTTACATTCTTGTACAGCCACTAGTACGCGTAGCGTTTCGGGCAAGTCCTTAATCCTATGGTCCCTGGAATACGATCCCCTGCCGCGAAGAATCGTTGTTACAACCAAGTACACATTTTACTGTTGAGTTAAACAGAGGCTACAGTTAAGGATTTGCGCCCAGTAAATCCTCCCCGGCCAGGATACGAACCCATGACATAGCGCTCGCGGAACGCCAGGCGGGTGTCTTACCACTACACCACGGAGACTGCAAAAACCTTGTTCTCTTAAAACCACGGAAATTTTGCAGTTCCCGTGGTGTAGTGGTTAAGACACTCGGCTGGCGCTTCGCGAGCAATTTGTCCTGGGTTCGTATCCTGGCCGGGAAGGATTTACTGGGCCCAAATCCTTAACTGTAGCCTCTGTTTAACTCAACAGTAAAATGGGTACCTGGTTGCTAAACGATTTTTCGCGGGATTCGTATTCCAGGGAACATAGGATTAAGGACCTGCCCGAAACGCTACGCGTACTAGTGGCTGTACAAGAATGTAACAACTCTTGTATATATATGTAAATAAATAAATATAATAAATAAATATAATAAATAAATAAAAATTAAAAAAAAATGATTTACATTTTCTGTGACGCTTCGTATGGTAGACTTTCTTATAATTAAACTCTCGCGCCTCTCTAATGGTCACTGTTGTATATATAACTGTCTCTGATGGTCACTGTCGTATGTATAACTGTCTATAATGGCCACTGTTATATATATGACTGTCACTTGATCACCAGTGATCACATGAGAGTCACCTGATCACCAGTGATCACATGAGAGTCACCTGATCACCAGTGATCACATGAGAGTCTCTGAGCTAGTAAACATCTCCCTCTTTCCCCTCAGCTTTAACCAATTACATTAATCCTAGAATGCGTTTTTGAGATGAAATGTTACACACACACACACACACACACACACACACACACACACACACACACACACACACACACACACACACACACACACACACACACACACGTGTGTCTGTGTGTGTGAGTGTGTGTGTGTTTGTGTGTGTTCACACAGGCTGAAAGTAACAAGGAAATCTGTGAGGCACTGAATGCCAGTTTCCATGGAGTGTTCACAACCGAGCCTGAGCAGCTCCCATTGTTAGAAGAGATTACCCTAGATGAAAGACTATCAGATATAGAGGTGACAGCAGAGGAGGTAATGAAACAGTTGACAACACTGGATGCAACTAAAGCAGTTGGACCAGACAAAGTATCACCGGGGATACTAAAAGGAGCAGCGCAGGCCCCCAGCCTGCCTCTGGCAATGATCTTTAATGAGTCACTTATGTCGGGAGAATTGCCCAGTTGCTGGAAGAAGGCAAATGTCGTACCGATCTTCAAGAAAGGCGATAGGGAGGAGGCACTTAACTATAGACCTGTATCACTGACAAGCATCCCCTGTAAAATACTTGAAAGAATAATTAGGCTACGACTGGTTGCACACCTGGAGAACGTTAGGTTTGTGAACAAACATCAACATGGGTTCTGGACAGGGAAATCGTGCCTAACAAACCTTCTGGAATTCAATAAAATAACGAGGATAAGACAGGACAGAGATGGTTGGGCGGACTACATATTTGTGGACTGCCAAAAAGCCTTTGATACAGTACCGCACATGAGACTGCTGTTCAAGCTCGAGAGGCAGGCGGGGGTGGTCCTAGCATGGATAAGGAACTACATAACAGAAAGGAGCCAAAGAGTTACGGTAAGGGGCGAGAAGTCGGATTGGCGAACAGTAACGAGTAGAGTACCTCAAGGATCGGTGCTGGGACCAATTCTATTTCTAGTATATGTTAACGACATGTTTACAGGAGTAGAGTCCTACATGTCGATGCTCGCAGATGACGCAAGGTTGATGAGAAAAGTTGTGACAGATGAGGATTGCAGGATCCTCCAAGAGGACCTAAACAAGTTGCAGAGATGGTCAGATAAATGGCTACTGGAGTTCAACACGAGCAAATGTAAAGTGATGGAAATGGGACTAGGAGATAGGAGACCAAAGGAACAGTACACAATGAAGGGGAAGTGCCTACTTGTGACGACGCGCGAAAGAGACTTGGGTGTGGACGTAACACCTAATCTATCTCCTGAAGCACATATAAATAGGATAATATCAGCAGCGTACTCTACACTGGCAAAAGTTAGAACATCATCCAGGAACCTAAGAAAGGAGACATTTAGGGCACTTTACATTGCCTACGTGAGGCCAGTCTTAGAGTATGCCGCCTCATCATGGAGTCCCCATCTGAAGAAGCATATAAGGAAACTGGAAAAGGTTCAGAGGTTTGCAACAAGACTCGTCCCAGAGTTACGAGGGATGGAGTATGAGGAGCGCCTGAGGGAACTGTGCCTTACGACACTAGAAAGAAGAAGGGAGAGGGGGGGACATCATAGGAACGTATAAAATACTCAGGGGGATTGACAGAGTGGACATAGACGAAATGTTCACACGGAATAGTAACAGAACGAGGGGACATGGGTGGAAGCTGGAAACTCAGATGAGTCACAGGGATGTTAGGAAGTTTTCTTTTAGCGTGAGAGTAGTGGGAAAATGGAATGCACTTAAGGAACAGGTTGTGGAAGCAAATACTCTTCATAATTTTAAAACTAGGTATGATAGGGAAATAGGACCGTAGTCATTGCTGTAAACAACCGATGCTCGAAAGGCGGGATCCAAGAGTCAATGCTCGATCCTGCAGACACAATTAGGTGAGTACAATTAGGTGAGTACACACACACACACGCCTGTTTTTATAGGGTAGATAAAGACAGTCTATTTAACACAAGGGGACACAGGTGGAAACTGAGTGCCCAAATAAGCCACAGAGATATTAGAAAGAACTTTTTTAGTGTCAGAGTGGTTGACAAATGGAATGCATTAGGAACTGATGTGGTGGAGGCTGACTCCATACACAGTTTCAAGTGTAGATATGGTAGAGCCGAATAGGCTCGGGAACCTGTACACCTGTTGATTAACGGTTGAGAGGCAGGACCAAAGAGCCAGAGCTCAACCCCCGCAAACACAACTAG